TTCAATAAACCACCTTCACTTCTCCACTACTGCCTGCGATTGGATCCTCATTTATTATTTTCACACGGCTCTCCTCACCTGCCGTGACATATAAGGAGTTTCTCTCAGGTTTTAGAGCTCATCACAGCACAGAAACAGCTTTAGTGAAGGTTACACATTATCTTCTTATGGCCTCTGACAGTGGACTCATCTCTGTGCTTGTCCTGCCAGATCTCAGTACAGCATTCAATAGCCTACTGTTGACCGTAATATTAGCGCGATGAGCACATGCTGTAGGTATTACAGGTACTGGAGTCATTTTTTCTTACCAGGATATGTTCTTCTAGGCTGGACTACTGTAATTCATTATTATCAGGGTGTCTTTCTTTTTCATTCACATTTCTCACTCACTATGTGTTAATAGACCTCTATGCATTGATTCTTACTTGTTATTAATCTCTGTCTCTCTTCCACAGCATGTGGTCATGGCAGATGACTGCCCCTCCCTGAGCCTGTTTCTGCTGGAGGTTTCTTCCTGTTAAAATGGAGTTTTAAGGGTCTATCTTATGATATAAGGTTTGAACAAGTAATAAAAGGCTTTTATGTAAGTGGGTTAGCGCCATTAAAAATACATCAATGCATCTATGACTCCTGAATAGTCAATGCAACACTTTAAAAATCAAGGCTACAAGTCCACAATTTAATCATACCTTGATAGCTCAATTTAAAATACATTATGGTAGTGGAAGACTGTTTGATTTACTTTTCTGTGGTTTTAAAATCTCCAGTTATTTTTTAGTTATTATTTATCAGGAGTTTAACTTCATAAGACCAAGACCTCGTCCGCTATACATTAATTGGTGGTGTGCTAGCCAAACATTACTCGTTTCCCCAACAAATTATATATAGATTTGTACAAAATCTGTGCATTTGTGGTAAATATTATTAGGCACCCAGTCAATGTTTTAGTTGCGTATTATCACTCATTGTACTCATGCTTCCTTGAATTATAACTCGACCTTGATTAAGAAATGCCACAGCATAGGCAGGCCTTCCTCTGTCCTTCCTTTTGTTTGCCTTTAATGACTTAATGATGAGACTGCATTGGAATTTCTGTACTCCCATAGGGAAAGAATACATGTTGATGTTGGAGTCCTTTTAACCTTTTGTCCCACTGACTAACAGCTCTACAGCATCAATCAATTATACAGTTGGTACAATTTTTTTTTTTTAATGTAAGATGTGAAATGGATTTTGAACATATTGGTGCTGGTTTAACTCACTGGGCCTAAGGCTAATGCAGAGATCTGGGTTCAAATCCATCCTGAGGGCTTTTACTCTTTCTCATGAGTAATGTGGAGGAAATAAGAAGGAAGCAGGTCTCTTTGCCTAGTCTTCAGTGGAATGTTAAGTATTTAGTTGTGTCCCTAAAAGCTGCCAATTTTTTCTGTAATATGTTTGGTATTTTCCCTCTTGTATAAAATCCATCTCATGTAAATACTGTAACATTTTCCATTGGAAAATCTGGGACTAACTGGAATGTAACAAAATGAGCATGAGTGCCAAAATTAAACATAAAAGGCGCCAGGGTAGAGTCATACCATTGGCTTGGAGCCTTCCTGAATTCTCTTCTACACAGTCACTTACTTGCACCAATAACAATAACCAGAAAAACACCCCCAAACAAACAGAATACAACAAGAGAGAGCAATTTTCATCTTATTCTTTTTAAAAAAAAATTATTTTAGTAATTACTTCATGTCTGTTTGTTCTTGCAAGGCATGCTTTTTTTAAACCCAGCAACAACTATCTTTATATTTTGAATTCTAATTTAAAAACCTTTCCATAAGTGACCCTGAATGCACAAAAATGAAAATATTTAAACCGTTATGCTGTTGTAGCTACTGCACATTTTGTACATCTACTGAGGACTGTTGGCTTCCTCCGACAGTTAAAACATGTGCATGTTAGGTAATTGGTGATGCACATTTTGTACCTCGAGTCTTAATTATTATTGATAATTAATACTGATAACAGTAAAGTTTAGTGATGAGGATTTTTTTTATGATATATTAGTGAATAATTATTGAATAAGCGGAAGAACATGAGTGGATGGCTGTTTGTTTTTGTCAAGGTCCTGGGTCGGTGACCCAGTGTTTAATATTTTGAATTATTATATCTTTGAGTTCATTTATTATTTCTAGTCTCTCAGTTTGTTCCTGTGTTATGTGTTCCTGTTTATCCTGTTATCCTGTTTATCTTTGCCAACCTGTGTCCTACGTTAATCCATTTTGTTTTGCTTCCTCCCTGTCTCGTCAAGTCTATTATGTTCATCTGTGTCTCCCTCCTGTTGTGCATTTCCTTACCTTGTGTGTGTGTGTATATATAGTGTGTGCTTTCCTCTGCGCCTTGTCAGATTGTCCATTTGTCATCCCCGATGCTTCATCTGCGTACCTCTGCTCTTCATCACGTGCGTATCCTCTCTTGTTCATCATCCACTGCTGTACTTCTTGTGTTTCTCTGGGTTTCAGGTTTCTATAATGTGCTTTCTGTTTATCTCATATGCTTATGTTTAGCTGTCCCCAATTTAAGTTTTTGTTAGTTTTTTTTCTCAATTCCCTTCAACTACACATTCCAAACATTGCCTGTGACAGTTTTCATGTCTTAGGTGAAATGGGAGATGGTCTTATTTGATAATAGATGTATTTGTTCACAAACAAGTATTGTAAAACCTAAAAAAATCCCCTTCTTTGCTCTCTGAAACACTAATGAAGGATTAATCCTCCATTAATGTCATTTGTTGTTAAGAAGTCAACGTAAACAACATGGACAACATGCAACACCTTAAATGAGAGATTTAGGAACAAAGTTTTGATGAAACACGTCCTCCCCATGAACTAAAAAATACAATAAACTTTGACTTGTCAGTATTATAATGACTCTAACTTAAACAATCCACTGAGTTCACTCAAGTACCTGAAACAAGGGGAATACAGCATGTTCTGTCTGACAGCTGTTACCTGGGGACAAGAGGCCAAAGATTTACAAGAGCATTAATACAGTTATAGCGGGTGAGCACATCTCTGTCATTCAGAGAGGCGACAAATCCAGTGTTAGATTTTTAAGCTCACATACTTTGAAATCTATATTTCAGGGGATTTTTGGCACAAGAGTCACAACTTTGAAAAAGTAGCATATTTCTGTATTCATTTCATCTCCAGCTGGAACTATCTTTTGATCCATGAATAATCGCAAGACCAACCTTAAGACCATCAATTCAATAAGATAAAACACAACATGCTGTTATATTTATTTATTCAAAGCTTTATCCTTAAAAGAACAGTACCTCCTACAATTTCACTCAAACATGCAAAATGTAAAATTGTGTGCCTTCAACGTTTCCAGGGTTTCTCTGGGTTAAAGGTGTGTCTTATATATTGTGAAGAAACATACAGTGAAATACATGCCAAACATATTCCAAATAAAAGAAATGTAGCTTAAACCAAGGAGAACAAAAATTTGTAGTTACAAGTAAACAAACACAAGACATTTAAATGTGACCTCTGGGTGGTCTTTTGGGTCCTTAAAGCATATTTCATGATAAATGGCAAGTTGAGTACATCTAGTAGCTTAATCAATAAAAATAAAACAATGCCATTAATAGAACATGTATACATTCAGTTATATGGGTTAATGATGTGCAAACAGTCACCATTTATAATTTAGTTTAGTGCAAGAATCAGAAAATAAAAGCATAAAAATAATAATCCCCAATTTTTAAAAAGATAAACTATATTAGCTAATAGCTGCTTTGAGCACAGAGCTGCATGCTATTCTTGTGTGCTACCTGCTATAATGACTGCTAAGGTGTCAGCTACTGCTGATCACAGACTCGCACAAGCTTTGATATACTGTTTGCTTCTTTAGCTTCATGGGGTGGCTGTAGCTCAGGTGGCAGAGCAGGTCAGCCACTAATCAGAAGGTCGGTGGTTCGATCCCAGACTGCCTCCTGGCTGCATGCCAAATATCCTTGGGCAAGATACTAACCCCATGTTTGCCTACTGGTGGTGGTCAGAGGGACCGGTGGCGCCAGTGTCCGGCAGCCTCGCCTCTGTCAGTGCGCCCCAGGGCAGCTGTGGCTACAATGTAGCTTGCCATCGCCTGTGTGTGAATGGGTGGATGACTGAATGTAGTGTGAAGCGCTTTGGGGTCCTTAGGGACTAGAAAAGCGCTATACAAATACAGGCCATTTACAGGCCATTTAGCTTTTTCTTTTTGTTTCAGACTTTGGCAGTTGGTGATCATATTTCATTATTGCATATATTACAGATTTAGATTTCAACAACACTGTGTACCAATTGGCTGTGTTACACTCAGTAATTACTTTAAGTTGTGTGACTGACTACAATATGAAGTTCAGTAAATATTACACTTTGAAGTACATTGTTCTTACTTAATGTACTCTAATACTGTAATGTTTTCGGAGATGCCTGTTACCAATTGGCTAATCCACCACCTTTTATTGTTTATACCGTTTTAAAAAAACAAACAAACATAAAAATGAAAAATCACCATCGGCCCACCAGGCAAATGCCCGGTATGCCCAATGGCCAGTCCAGCTATGCGGTCAGCTGGTGGCTATCAGGAATCTCCAAAAACATTAGAGCACTTTTGTAAATATGTGATGTCTTGATGAATCGAGCAGATATTTGAAGTTTACACAGCACCATTCTCGCATGAAAATATCTTAAAAGTTTATTTTGTGACCCAGAAAGAGTAATATTTCAAACTCCGCCACTTTGTGTTCCTCCGCCACAGCCTCGTTTGAGTTTTGGACGAAATGGATTCTGGGATATTGCATTTCGACATTTCAAGCTGATTGGAGACCAAAACAGCCAATCAGATTTTGTTGCATCCAAGTCTGTGATTGGCTGGTTTTGTGGCACAAATATAACGGTGTACAGAAAGAGTTGAATGTGCACGGGCAGAAATGTTGAGAGCACAAGCAACACATTGAGAGCAAGCGCAAATGCAAAAACTGAGCGAGAGGGGCTGCTATAATAGCAAACACTGAAATGCATTTTTTGCATGCAGCAATTAAATTTTTTCACTCAAGTTTAGCTTTTCTCCACTCAAAATAAATTTCTCCTCAAAATGCAACACTTGCACCTGCATTTTTTTTTAACGTGCGCTCAGAATAGTGGCACAAAAATAACCCCATATTTTTGGGTCATCTTACACCAAAGAGGAACATGGTTTGGCTGAATACAGGCAGAGTAAAGTAAAAAGTGAAGCAATATTTGAAAAACAATGTATAATATATTGATAACAATGTATAACTAATATCACTAATAACTGATACTGCTGTTTTGGAAACACAATGTGATTTTCTTAATGAAATAAGTATGCAGTGTGGGTGTGATATAAAAAGTAATGCATTGTATACTTACATCACATTTGTCTGTATTGCAGTAATATTGTGCATCATAGTCTCTAAATAAGGTAAATGGTTGCCTGCTACTGGCAAATTAGCTTTGTTTTTCTTTTTACTCAAGTTACATAACCTGTATAATAGAAAATTTTAAAAGAAACAAACAAAAAACCTCCAACTGTTATTTGTGCAACAATAACTTATCTCACCTTGTAGAAAAAAAAGTGACTGGCCTAAAATTTTTGGCAGTGCAACACTGCTGCAAATGCAAACTCAAACCTATTCAAAAATCTGAAAAGGTAAAATAAAGATCAGTAAAGCTCATGAAGATCCGTGGGATCCAGAGCAATGTTCAAGGTGAGTGCATGCTAATCCAAGCAAACAGGTCATATTTTGAGCCTGAATGAGTAAGAAAAGCAATGATGAACTGAAAAGATCTCTTTGGGTTGGTTTTCACCAACTTTGCTGCTGGTATTGCTGGTAAAACGTCAGGTTAAATTTTTTTATGATGATGAGTACCTTTACGGTTGATTGTTTTAGAGGTAACAGACCGTTATGTGACAACGCATCTCTGTAATAGCTGTTGTGAAAAAATGTAAATCAGTGTGTGAGTAAGAAGTAATATGTATCCATCAGTGACTGGTGATCTAAGCTGAACACTTAGAAAAAATGAAGTGGAGTGACTGAAGAACAGTGTCATGGTTGGAATCGGTGAAAACATTAACTTTGTTAAAGAAGTAGGTCTTCCCAGGAATCAGTTTGGGTGAGCTGCAGTGATCATCTGTTTTCAAGATATAAGGGAAAGGCAACGCTTTCACTTTGGCCTTCTTTCCACAGATCTTCAGCACGCTCTTGAACACAATGCTATGCAGAGAGACACTTTCCACTGTCCCGATGCGCACTAAACAGAGACGCACACAAATACATTGCATTACAAACCCCCATAAATTCCTAAACAGCATTTGCTACAATGTTTTGTTTTTTAAATTTACATATAGACTGATGTCCTACTTTTTTTGCAAAGATCAGTTTTGTTCATATTATTCACTGATTGAAGTCTGGATTCTGTAAAAGAACATTATAGACACAGAACAGGTGAAATACATGATCTAAGCTGTGCTATTAAGTTCAAATGACACAAAATTTAGTTCTACTTTGTGAGAGGACTTTTAAGTAGAGATGACAGACCATTATTCATCTTTCTCCGATCCTGTCCTGGTTCATGGATTGATCTCAGCCGCTCAGCACAGCATGACCACAGGGTGGTGTTGAAGTAGAGGTGACCACAGCATCTGAATCCCGTCTTAGCAGAGTATAGCACTTCTCTGTCCTCACTTGAGCAGCAAATGTCCTGGATTTAAAAAGACAGTGTTCTTTATATACATAATTATACAATTATACATAAACATAATTGTTTGGAGTTTTTGAGGAATGTGTTAGTTAATGTCAAGTTCACCCAGTAATGTTGCTACATAAGCTAAAATCAGCTTTGTTTGTCTGTGTAGATTCACAATTCAGTCCATGTTAGTCTTAAGTGACTTCAATAACAGCAAATATGTGCAAATCTAGCAGTGTCATTATGGTAATTAAAGCCAAAGTGTGAATCTCTTATGAGACACTACCCCACCATGCAATCATGTGAGTTATTAAGATCACATGGTTCAAGGTGTGCTTCAAGTGTGGTTTGAAACACCAGGGAAGGGATTTCAAGACTGTCTGATAGTTGGTGTCATAGACCACCACCTCTATTCAGTGATCGTCATTGGACTGCTTTGCTCCTCTCTTAAACCAACTGTTTTTCTGGTGGGATTTTCAAATGAGTGTCTGTTCTCCTTTAGTTATAAATGTACAGCTGAGTCTTATCCTGATGACTTGGCTCTCCTGTGTTGTACCATGCATCTGGGGGATTTTTAGGTTTCTCCTATGTAACAATCTGAGCACTGTAATGCACAGCACATTTTTTAGCTTTTGTTTGGATGTTTTATCCCTAAACTATGGAGGAAATTCTTGTGAGGGAAGGAAGTCTGGTTGGCATAAAGACTATCACTGGTTTAAAGCCAACCAAGGGCAGTGGAGTTGAAAGCAGTTTGGAGTGGGCCAATGAGCGAAGTCAATTTTTTTTTTTTTACGTGTGACTCAATAACTCCTTTTCCATTAGTACCTACTCGGATCAACTCTCTACGAATCGAAACAACTTGACTCGGATTGACTGGTTTTCCATTACAACCCACTAGTTCCTTATTTGTGTGCTTGTTGTCATAGCAACATATCTGTGCATTGCACATTGCAATTGATATGCGACACGAATGCTCCAACAGGTGGACTTAGGTGAACTTCGAAGCAGACTATGGATTTTCGCAAACGAGATACTCTCATGACTCATTAAGTGTTGCTACCTACCACCCAATTCGTGGCAACCAGTCTGACGACGTCATATTTTAGTACCTGTTTGGATTGCTTGGAATCTGGGCTGAGCAGCTACTAAAAAAGCACCTGGACCTAATGGAAAATCCTGGAAACTGTGACAAACCATGCCAAGTCAATTAAAGTAGGTACTAATGGTAAAGGGGCTTATGGGTCCAGCTCACTGACACCATGAAACTTCTTGTTTGAAAGCTTTGGTTTATTATGGTCCATGTGTACTAGGAACATCTGCAGACAATGTACTGACTCATCATATACCCAGATGGGAGACATCAAGCGGACTTCAAAGATGTGTAAGAGGAATGACCACTATTAGGTCTCCAGGTATCCATGTCCATCTTTGTAACATATTATAATCAAGGCTTAAACCTGCAACAGCAACCACCCTTTCATCTCTCCCTCTCCTTCCTCACAGCAGCCAAGCCTCCTGTGAAAGTATTTTGCACATTTCCTCCCCCAAAGTGTCCTTGGATCATTGTCCACATGTCACAACATAGGAAAGACAGTACATCAGAACAAGACTCAGCGGTGCATTGGCACGCGCCTTCAAGGATGTTAATAGTTACATTTTTAGCTAAGAAGATAGATGGGTTGAGGACTGCATGGGAGCACATTTGCACTGGTTGGAAGCCCCTCTCCATATTTTGCATACCTCCTCCCACAGAGTGTGCTTGGATCATTGCATGTTGTAGGAGAGACAATAAAGTTGAATTCTATTCTATTCCATTCTCTTCTACTCTAAGATCTTATGACCTAATAAGGTGTAAGACATGATTACATAAACAAAGAGTAGATCTTGAGATAGCATCAGTAATATTAACTCTACCTGTTGCTTTTGCAGAAGGGATCCGCAACACTGTGCGTCCTGTCCATGCTCATCTAACAGTGTCAGATTGTACAGTGTTCCTGCACAGCACTTCATCTGTGGGTCTTTAATTTTGTAGGCTTTAATCCCACAGCAGTGAATATTTTCCAATCTGGAATGTCTGGGTGGAAAACAGAGGTAACCGTTATGATTCAATAAGGACAGTGATAAAGATGTATGCCAAAAAGATTCTGAATTAGATGACTCTTGTCTTATGTATTAACTGGATCTCACTCTGGAAGATACCTTCTTAACTTCTTCAACAGAGTGTTGGCAGGAAAAAAAAGATTTTCATCTATACTTAACTCAGATGAAAATACTGAAAATTTATAATGAATTATAATTTTATCTCCAACAATATCGATACCAAAAGTGCTGTCTGTGCCTCCTCCAGTGAACGTGCAACTTCAGACAGCACTGCTAAAGATAGGCTTACATAGATGCTCCCCTCATTAGCAGCTGAACATAAACTGTTGATAATGTTCACATCATGGAACATCAATTTATTTTGTGACATCAGTAATGCTTCCGTTTCATAAACATTAACATGCTATGGAGTTATCATATTAATGTCAGCCATTTAACTCTTGGCAGTTACCCTGCAGCTACATTAGCTGCTTGCTTAGTTATAATTAAGGTAGTGGCTGCTGGCTATGGCTATGTGTAATGCTGCCGCTGTTAGTAAGTAAAAGTAAAATGTACTTATTAAGCAATTTTACAGATGAAAATCAATTTATAATAAAACACAAAAAACAGACATAACAATGTAACAATCTAATGGATAATAGAATAAAACATAAAACCAGAAAATAACATAAAGGTGTTGTCACTTTGACAGCTACTCCAACTGGAAATAAGCTTGATTAGAGCAGCCAAGACTCAACCAGTTCATCTTGTAAAGAGCAAACTATAAAAAGAAAAAAACTGAAATCTTAATGCTATTTGCTGCTGAGTAGGGCGATAATTTAAATAATAACCTCTAAAAAGAAAGCCAAAGAACATAATTATGAAAAGACATGCACACATGAACATAGCCCTTAACAATAAACTTTAACTAAAACAGGGCCAAACCCAGTCAGAGACTACACAGACTGAGACAGAAATTCTCTGGCACAGTAGCTCAGTGCATTTTAAAGTCACCACACTGAAAACAAAGTGGGGATAGGGTTTGTGCACAGCTGGAGCATTTGCGTATCGCAGACACATATACATTCCATGAAAAGTAATTTTCCCATGCCACTCCTTTCTGAGTTTTCCTCCACCCTCTCTCAGAAAACATTAAATTAAGTGGTTCCCTTTAGCACAGCTGTCCTGAGAGACAAAATGCAATCCAGCGATACATACCAACTAAATTTAAAAAAAGAAAGAAGTTTGTTTCACCAGATTTCATCAGCAATACAATACAACTCGAAACAGATTTCTTCTTTCAGCTGATCCCTTTAGAAGTTCCCACACTGGATATTCCTTACCATCCTCTTTTTTTTTGCACCAAATCTTTGCATGTCCTCTTTAGTACATACATAAATCTTCATGTGAGAGTAATGTCTTTCTCTTGCCTGGCAGTTCCAGATTTAACATTCTTTGTCCAGTATATCGACAATCCCTCCTATGCACATGCCTAAACAGCCTCACCTCTCTAACTTTGTCTCAAAAATGCTTGACTTGAGCTGTCCCTCAGGATACACACACACACACACACACACACACACACACACACACACACACACACACACACACACTCACCTGTGTCCGTTACAGCAGATCTCAGCATCAGGCTGGTAAATTTCTGTCCCACAGCAGTGTTGTCCCGGGCTGCCATGAAACTGAGAGCAACATATGGTCCCTTTAGTTGGGTCATAAGGAATACCCGTCTCTGAACATTCCTCTCCATCATTTCTGTTCTCATACAAGGTGTTATCACAACAGAGAACTCCACGTTGTGCTGAGCCAAACGGTGTGTCCCCACAGCACTTGAAGAATCAGAAATAAAACAGTAATGTGTGCAGCAATGCAGAAACATCCTATATATCAGATAGAAAACACCCTGAGTAACCATGTAAAAGGAGCGGGGTGGAGCTCCGAGCTTTCTCATCAAAGTGGTACAAAAACAGCTCTTTTTTTTCACTGGGATCACTGGGTTCGACTGCCGTTAACTCTACATTGTATTGTTCTTTGCAGCAATTGAATCCTGCTCAAATTTACCTTTAATTCTGGACCTGTGCTATCCAGAATGCTTTCTAATCAATTATCTCATTAAAAATCTTGCCAGAATGGACTTATTATATTCTTCCTTTTTCTGTAAGCAAAAGAAAAAGAGCTGAAAGCTGAAAACAGTGCTTATAGCTCATAGCCTTCACTGGAAACAATTAGATTTTTCTAGAGATTAAGCATTTTGACTTGCATTAATAGAAAAAAGTCAGCCAGCTGGGCAGGCCTGGGAAAAGCAAACAATGTATTGAGTGCATTACTTGATTGATCCAAGGCTTCTGCACAGATGAACAGCCATCACAGCAGACTTGGTTTCCCACCTTGGAATTGCTTTGACCTAAGGAGGGGTGTGAGGGTGGAAAGGGTAGATGGGAACATTTGGGGATGAATTATCTATGGAAAAGATGACTCAGAGGATTTGCGGTCTTTTGTTCTGTTTTTAAATTTGTTTTTGCCAAAATAACATAATAAACACATCCATCTTTGCCATTCTTGTGCACTGCATGTAGGAATTCAGTATAAATGAATCTGAAACCAAACCCAGCAAGAAACCACTGTGACTTCCCATCCCTAGTTTACACTATACACCCTTTGGATGGGTACCAGAAATTTTGACTGGGCCTTGTAAGTTAATGTTGGAATGCTACTGCTTCTATTTAAGTGGCTACATGCACATTTATAAATTAAGAAAACAGTATATGCCATATTATTGTTTTTACTGTGGTTTGTGAGGCCCAGTAAAGCCTATAGTAATAAAGACTATAAAACAATCAAATAAATCACATAAATGCTGTTATTTGGATGATTACTGTCACATAGATGACAAGGAAAGAGAAAGACTCTTGGATGAGGAATAATGACTCTCATAAACAGAAAAAGAAAGAGGTGCACTACACAGTAAATTCATTAACTTATCTCGATATAAAAAAAAACACCTGTGCTATCAAGAAGAAAACAAATAAAGCTGAATTTTTCAGCTCTAACTCCCATCTTGACTATTGATCTATAAGATTTTCTGAGATAATGTATTTGGACCATTAAGTGACTTCAGCCTTATTCACTCTGGTGGTAGGAATGTATTTTTTTTTAAAAACAGTTTTTTCAAACATTACATTTGCTACTAAAAAGTTGAGTAAGCACAATTTTTTTGACAGAACTAATTTTTAAGTTTTTAAAATGCAAGACCCATTTAGCTTTAGGTCTAAAACAGATTTCAAAGATTTAACTTTGTAAAATGCCTTCTCATCTGGTTTGTAACATTTTTTTTTCTTTTCTCCTGAATGCAACTTTTGTTTTAAATGAAGTGAGGAATGTCTTTCATTGACATGACACCCACTCCATCCTGCCTAACATCTGTTTTCCAGGACATAACTCCAAGTCTCCAGCCTCTTTTCCTCACTCTCTCACTACAGAGCACATATTTCACAGCACTGCCTGAACTCAGGCTGACCTGTTGTCCTGTCTATAACCATGGCCAGCAAGAAGGAGCTAAGAGCGGATCCCTGCTTTTTTTGGCACGAAGCAATAACTGCAGCTCACTGATCATCACCTCTCCTCTTAACCTCTTTTCCACAGCTAGATGATATAGCTCATCAACTTTATCCTTCTGTAGTTGCTATTTAATGGTTGTGGTTTACCTTTGTTCTTGAAAATTAGTGCCTATCCACTTCTTATCCTTTCCTCAGGCCTCCAATCACTCTCTAGGATCATACTGTCAGTCTGTTTAAAAAAACAAAACGCTGCCCTCTACCCTAGACACCTCCATACATCTAAAGGAGTTATGGCTCTGGGATGGTGGCCCAGTGTTCTGTGTTTTGTATTATTCTTGTTAATCTTTGATTTCCTCATGATTTATCATTGCTAGTCTCTCAGTTTCTGTGTTTCTAGTTCCTTAAGTCTCCCTGTCTCACCACGTCTAATTAGGTTCAGCTGTGTCTCCTATCTGTTGTGCATTTCCCTCATTACCTTGTGTGTATATTTAGGGTGTGCTTCCTTCAGTTCCTTTTCAGACTATCTGCTTGTCATCCTTTGTTTTACCTGAGCTCCCCTTCTTCATCCTCTTCATAGCTATCTTCACTTCCTCCTTACCAGTCTGCATTCCCTGGTTCACTAACTGCCCTCCATTCATCTTTATCTCTCATTTTCCATTTTAATCCTTAATACACTACTACCATTTAATCATTAGTAATTATTAAACTCTGGCTTTCTCTCTTCTCTATCCCCTCACCCCAACCAGTTGTGGCGGATGGGTGCCTCCCATGAGTCTGGCTCTGCTACAGAGCTCTTCCTGGTAAAAGTACCACTGTTGCCAAGTGCTTGCTTATAGGATAATGTGTAATTGTTTGGGGTTCTTTCTAATATTATAGGTTCTTTACCTTGCAATATAGCAACCTGATAACCCCAACCGATTGGACAGGCAAACCGCGAGTGGACATGGTGGACCCAACGTCACATTTTGCCATGATGGTGGGTTAAACATAACATGCCTTGAAACAAAGGTTGATATGAATTGATGCTATATAGAACACTGAACTGAATTGATGACCAAACCATTTTTCTGGTCATTGTAGACTGGTGGCAGTGACCACATCAAGAACCTGGAAAGACTCATCCTTGATCAGCTCCATATATGAACCTCTTTCAATTCGCTTACCAGCCCCGTCTTGGAGCTGATAACGCCGTCATCTACCTGCTCAACCATGTCTATGCCCATCTGAATCAGCCAGCAAGGACTGTGAAGGTCATGTTTTTTTTTTACTTCCTCAGTGCATTCAGTACCATCAGGCTGACCATCCTGTGTGAGAAGCTGACAGCAATGCAGGTAGATGCCTCTCTTGTGTCCTGGATTGCTGATTACCTGGCTGAAGGTTCATGTGTGTCTTCAAAACTGTGTCTGACGAGATGATCAACAACACTGGGGCTATTCACCCTCTACACCACTGATGGGAGACACTGCACAGAGACCTTTAGAAGTTTTCTGATGAGTCTCCGGTGGTTGAATGCATCAGTGAAGGTGATACATTGACGTAGAGTACCAGGTACTCGACCACACATGGACTCCTTTGTTATGTGGTGCAAGCAGAATTATCTGGAGCTCAACATTACAAAGACCAATGAATTGATTGTGGACTTTAGGAGGATTATGAAACCTGTGACCCCTGTTTCAATCCAGGGACTCCATGTGGACATAGTATGTATAAATACGTTAGAGTACACATTGACAATAAACTAGACTGGGCTAAACACCACTGCACTCTTCAGGAAGAGACAGAGGTGGCTGAAGTCTGTTAATAATTGCTGAACAATGCTCAGGATTTTTTATTGTTCTGGTTACTAGTTAATGACTTGGATCAACTGTGACCACATCATTTCCTCGAGCCGTCATAAAGTATTGTGATTCTGATTACTGGATTTAGCAGTCCATGCTGCCATCCCAAAATCACAACAACAGCTCCATATCATGGAGTAAATGTAGCCTTTTTCCACCAACTAGAATTTTGCAAAGATACAAAATGCCAACTGAAATTCAGTTGAATATCAAATGTAATTTCTAAGATGTGCATGAAATTGTATTAGACAAGTTCTGACCTTCAAGCACAGCTGACTCCTCTGAACAGCAAGATGAATTCTTCAATTGTACTTCAGCACTTTCCTTTTTCCAACAGCAGCACTCGGTCTTTGTGTTGAACTGGTCATGATAACAGCACTGGTGATCTGTAGAGTTCCTTTCAAGGATCTTCTTATCATTAATTGGACCACAACACAGCTGCTTTTCCACATCATATGTCTCTGTGGAAAAAGAACCAGATACTAGAAAATGAAATGCATATAGTGTACTTTATGCATAATTAAGTTAATGTTAAACTTTTTTAAGGAAACGGGTTTTATATGTTCCTCATACAACAGATCATTTAAATACTTTTTTTTATAGTGAAATACTTGTATTTTGATTAGCTCTGCTTACCTTTATCACAACATCTGTGTTGTGGTGAAGATTTGGCAACAACAGTTGACTGACAACATAAATGCTTATGTATGTTGAAGGTTGTATTTCCACATAAAGGAGCTGTAGAGTCAAAGACCAGGTCAAAATACACACATCATTCATAGTAACCAGCATAAATTTCCTTTAGAAGAAGAACAATAGGAGGCAGAGCCTTCAGCTTTCAGGACCCTCATATGTGGGGGACAGATTTGGGAGACAGACACCCTCCCTGCTTTCAAAGATTAGGTTGAAAACTTCATTTTTGATAAAGCATATAGTTAGGGCTGGATCAGTTGACCTTGAATCTTGCCTTGAGTAGTTCTTCTTCAGTCACATTTTCCACTACAGGGAGTGCAGAATTATTAGGCAAATGAGTATTTTGTCCACATCATCCTCTTCATGCATGTTGTCTTACTCCAAGCTGTATAGGCTCGAAAGCCTACTACCAATTAAGCATATTAGGTGATGTGCATCTCTGTAATGAGAAGGGGTGTGGTCTAATGACATCAACACCCTATGTCAGGTGTGCATAATTATTAGGCAACGTCCTTTCCTTTGGCAAAATGGGTCAAAAGAAGGACTTGACAGGCTCAGAAAAGTCAAAAATAGTGAGATATCTTGGGGATGCAGCAGTCTCAACATTGCAAAGCTTCTGAAGCGTGATCATCGAACAATCAAGCGTTTCATTCAAAATAGTCAACAGGGTCGCAAGAAGCGTGTGGAAAAACCAAGGCGCAAAATAACTGCCCATGAACTGAGAAAAGTCAAGCGTGCAGCTGCCAAGATGCCACTTGCCACCAGTTTGGCCATATTTCAGAGCTGCAACATCACTGGAGTGCCCAAAAGCACAAGGTGTGCAATACTCAGAGACATGGCCAAGGTAAGAAAGGCTGAAAGACGACCACCACTGAAGAAGACACACAAGCTGAAACGTCAAGACTGGGCCAAGAAATATCTCAAGACTGATTTTTCTAAGGTTTTATGGACTGATGAAATGAGAGTGAGTCTTGATGGGCCAGATGGATGGGCCCGTGGCTGGATTGGTAAAGGGCAGAGAGCTCCAGTCCGACTCAGACGCCAGCAAGGTGGAGGTGGAGTACTGGTTTGGGCTGGTATCATCAAAGATGAGCTTGTGGGGCCTTTTCGGGTTGAGGATGGAGTCAAGCTCAACTCCCAGTCCTACTGCCAGTTTCTGGAAGACACCTTCTTCAAGCAGTGGTACAGGAAGAAGTCTGCATCTTTCAAGAAAAACATGATTTTCATGCAGGACAATGCTCCATCACACGCGTCCAAGTACTCCACAGCGTGGCTGGCAAGAAAGGGTATAAAAGAAGAAAAACTAATGACATGGCCTCCTTGTTCACCTGATCTGAACCACATTGAGAACCTGTGGTCCATCATCAAATGTGAGATTTACAAGGAGGGAAAACAGTACACCTCTCTGAACAGTGTCTGGGAGGCTGTGGTTGCTGCTGCACGCAATGTTGATGGTGAACAGATCAAAACACTGACAGAATCCATGGATGGCAGGCTTTTGAGTGTCCTTGCAAAGAAAGGTGGCTATATTGGTCGCTGATTTGTTTTTGTTTTGTTTTTGAATGTCAGAAATGTATATTTGTGAATGTGGAGATGTTATATTGGTTTCACTGGTAAAAATAAATAATTGAAATGGGTATATATTTGTTTTTTGTTAAGTTGCCTAATAATTATGCACAGTAATAGTCACCTGCACACACAGATATCCCCCTAAAATAACTAAAACTAAAAACAAACTAAAAACTACTTCCAAAAACATTCAGCTTTGATATTAATGAGTTTTTTGGGTTCATTGAGAACATGGTTGTTGTTCAATAATAAAATTATTCCTCAAAAATACAACTTGCCTAATAATTCTGCACTCCCTGTAATGTATTTATATTCTACTCTGCTTTCGTTATTATTAACGGCTCTTTTCCACATCATGTTGTTACGATTCGGTGTTGTCAGTGTTTTGTTTTAGACGTGACGGTTGTGTTTCCTGCTTTACTTTGAAAGTCTGTCTTATCTCAGTGTGTTCAATTTATGCTTCCTTGTCTCGTCAGTTCTGATTTGCCCCAGCTGTGTTTCCCTCCTGTTGTCCATTCCCTGATTGCTCCCTCTATGTATTTAAGCCCTGTGTTTCAGTTTGTCATGTTTGCGATCTCCCCCCCCCCGGTTGTAAATAGTTTGGTGGTTTGATGTAAATAAATGTCTTATTTTGCTTTGATGCAAGTAGTTGTTGATACTTTCGTTTTGGGACTTTTTTTGTGGAGACCCGTAGTAGTTTGTTTGTTTTGTTTTTTTTCCTTATTTTTATTTTTCGTGTGTTGCACGCCGGTTGCCTAGGCCGGGGTGTAACAATGTGTTTTGTCCTGTCTTCCTCTCCTCACCCCATATGGTCACGCCAGATGGCCACCCTTCCCTGAACCTGGCTCTTATGGACGTTTCTTCCTGTTAAAGCAAAGTTTTTAATTCCCAGTGTTGCCAAAGCACTTGCTCATAGGGGGTTATATGACTGTTAGGGTTCTCTCTGTTTTCTTTTAATTATTTTAGGGTTTCACCTAACAATTTAAGCACCTTGAGGAAACTGTTGTTGTGATTTAGTGCTAAATAAATAAAACCTAATTTAAAATTAAATCGAATGAGTCCGAATAGAATAAAACACAGACCCTCTAAAAATTTGGTTAAAAACTTTTCTTTTTAAATGAAGCATATAATTAGGGCTGGATCAGGTGACCTGAATTCTTTTGTTGTGCTGTTATCTGCCTCTTAAGTCTGATGTCATTAGCCATTTCCTTGTCCATCCATCCATCCATTTTCATCCGCTTTGTCCGGGGCCGGGTCGCGGGGGCAGCAGCCTAAGCAAAGAGGCCCAGACCTCCCTCTCCCCAGCCACCTCCTCCAGCTTATCCGGGGGAATACCAAGGCGTTCCCAGGCCAGCCGAGAGATATAATCTCTCCAGCGTGTCCTGGGTCTGCCCCGGGGCCTCCTCCCGGTGGGACATGCCTGGAACACCTCACCCAGGAGGCGCCCAGGGGGCATCCTTGTCAGATGCCCGAACCACCTCAGCTGGCTCCTTTCGATGTGGAGCAGCAGCTGCTCTACTCTGAGCCCCTCCCGGATGGCCGAACTTCTCACCCTATCTCTAAGGGAGAGGCCAGCCACCCTTCGGAGGAAGCTCATTTCTGCCGCTTGTATCCGCGATCTCGTTCTTTCGGTCACTACCCACAGCTCGTGGCCATAGGTGAGGGTAGGGACGTAGATCGACCGGTAAATTGAGAGCTTCGCTTTTACACTCAGCTCCCTCTTCACCACGACGGACCGGTGCAGCATCCGCATTACTGCAGCCGCAGCCCCAATCCGTCTGTCGATCTCCGGCTCCCTTCTCCCATCACTCGCGAACAAGACCCCGAGATACTTGAACTCCTCCACTTGGGGCAGGAACTCATCCCCGACCCGGAGTGGGCACTCCACCCTTTTCCGGCTGAGAACCATGGCCTCAGATTTGGAGGTGCTGATCCTCATTCCCGCTGCTTCACACTCGGCTGCGAACCGCTCCAGTGCGAGCTGGAGGCCCTCACCCGATGAAGCCAACAGAACCACATCATCAGCAAAAATCAGAGATGAGATTCTGAGGCCACCAAAGCGAAAGCCCTCCGCCACTTGGCTGCGCCTAGAAATCCTGTCCATAAAAATTATGAACAGAACCGGAGACAAAGGGCAGCCCTGGCGGAGCCCATCACCCACCGGGCCACTTTTTAAACCGTGTGAAACACTGCTAAAATCACAGCGAATGTCACAGTCTGGCGAGGGCAGACTGTAGGGGTTGACAAAAGGACCCAAAACGCAGACTCAAAGGAACAGGGAACAGAACTTGAAATGTTAACAAAAAGCGAGCCATTTAATATGGATGGTAAAAAAGGTACAAACAAAGGGCAAGGCAAACTGAAGCAAAAATTAACACAAACCTAAACTGGGAAATCTAAACAAACAATAAGAAAAACCTAGAGAAGAAACTTGGAAGTGAAGCATGGCATAGGAAACATGGCGTGGACAACAGACGACCTGACAATGACACACTGAAAACGGAGGACTTAAATACACACAGGAGGATAATGAGGGAAGTGGGAACACATGAAGAAACAGCTGACACATATGAACATAACGACGTCACAAGGAGAGAGTAACACTAAAAACATTGAATATAGGAACACAGGACCCCTTCAAAATAAAACAGGAAATATAATGAGACGCAGACATGACAACATAAGACACACAGACATTAAACACACGAAGGGCAAGGGAGACTTCACAGGGGTTGAAAACACAAGGGGGAACTAATAAGCAAATGAACATAGGAAACCTAATAAGCATAAACATACTATAAACATCAAAAGAACTAAAACTCAAAACACTGGGTCATAAGACCCAGGATCGTGACAGCGAACTTTTACACTTTGTATTTTAGTCATAGTTTACTACAATCTCGTGATGTTTAGTTGACTAAAAATAGGCTTCCAAATTCTTTTACTTTTAGTCTAACTTATAACTAAACGTAAATGACAAGACAACAGACTGATTAAAACAAAGTCAAGATTTGCTGTCAAAATTAACACTGGACTTCCAGTGTTAATGACCCATAGAGCTTTTGGTTTAACATAACTACTGTATAATAACTTGCATGAGGGAAAACAGAAAATAAGACATTGCTCAGGAAACAGTTCTGTTTGTTTGTTTGTTCTTGAATTGCAAGTTAGGTTGGGGCAGGTTTACTAATTTGTCTTTGCTTGCATACTTTCTAGTCAATCATCCCCCCCCCCCCCCCAAGACTGCCCCCCTTAAGATTGATTTGTACAGTGACTCAAACTGCATCAACTTTCATTAGACTGGTCCCACACAGTGTTACATGCAGTTAAGTCCTGAACTGACCTGCAGATACACCAAAGTCCTTGAAACAACAGGATGAATCCTTCGATTGTATCTCCACGCTTTCCTCATTTGAACAGCAGCACTGAGTCTCTGTGTCATACTGGTTGTGACCACAGCACTGGTGGTGACTGGAATTCCTCATCAGAATCATCTTGCTCTCATTCGGACCACAGCACAACTGCTTGTCCTTATCATAAGCCTCTGTGGAAAAGACCATGGTGATTCATTATATTTCTACCTCCTACAAATGTTGTACTACTGAATTATTCTACTGAATAAGCAATTGCACTACATTAAAAGAAAATTTTTCTGCTGTTTTCCAGAAAATTCTGTGATAAAACCACATTTATTATATATTATATTTAAGCTTCTCCAAAACAATTTGTATATTTTCATAGGTTTCTTTTAACTGGACAGTTAACTTTCCTTGGTATAGGGTTATAATGTGATGTTTTTCATCAATGTGTTCAGTTCTGCTCACCTTTACCACAGCATTCAGCCATTGGTCCAGGTTTTGCTACGATGGTTGATTGACAGCATATTTCATTGACTGGGTTGTACGCCTTCAGGTCACAGCACTTGGACACCTTTTCACTTAGACCCTGTGTAACAGCTGGAAGTGTGTCATGGTAAGTGCATTAACTCAGTACTAGAAGGTTCACAAGTTCCATGAGTCACAAAGCTCAATCTAAAAATAGCTAGGGGGTGTTTCACTTTTACGTAAACCAACCACAACAAACACAACCACAACTCTTGAGGGTTTAAAATATGTTTTTGATGAAGACTGTGGTGGTTTTGCACCAGTGTTTTTCGCAGTGTTTAGTCATGCACATGTCAAGCCCTTCATCTGCTTACTGTGCAGAATGTCAGTGTGAGTGACGTACACAGAGCAGTAAAAAAGGACTGTTGCAGCAGCTTTGAATAAATGAAAATACCTAACTTAGTTTAAGTGCTAACAGATGAATCCATGGACGAATCATATTTATTAGCATGGTCTTTTTAAAAGCTCTTTTTTAAAGTTTTGTTTTAATCTTTTGTATGTGGCTGTTTCTAATCTCCATGAGGCACTTTGTAACCCCAAGGAAATTCAAAGCATGATCATTGCACATGGTTTATTTATGTTAGAAGGAGAGTAGCTGCAATAATTTTTAAGTTTCCAGTTTATTCGGTTAAGTATTAAGTTTTCTAGTCCAATACAGTTCAAATGTTCCACAAACTGCAGTTCCAACATTGGAGTAATATCTTGTTCCATAAATGGTAAATGGCCTGTATTTGTATAGCGCTTTACTAGTCCCTAAGGACCCCAGTCATCCACCCATTCACACGCTGGTGATGGCAAGCTACATTGTAGCCACAGCTGCCCGGGGGTGCACTGACAGAGGCGAGGCTGCCAAACACTGGCGCCACCGGGCCCTCTGACCACCACCAGTAGGCAACGGGTGAAGTGTCTTGCTCAAGGACACAATGACCAAGACAGAGACTGTCGAAGCCGGGGTTCCAACCGACAACCTTCCGATTACAAGGCGAACTCCCAACTCTTGAGCCACATCGCCCCATAAGTGAAGCTGCTGCTTTAAACCTTTTTATGCTCATCACACCATTAACTAATACTTACATTATTAAATTCTCATTTTCACCTTGTTAAGGTGCCCAATTTCTTGCAAGATCACAAAGTCAAATTTCCACTTTGAATTTTAATTATTCTTTTGTTAGTTGTTTTACAAGTTGATTACCTGTGGTGCTGTGTCCATGTTGTATTTTACAACAAGTGGCTGTTCCAGGATTGTAAGGCTCCTTTCCACAGCAAAATAGACTTACACCAGGGTGAAGCTTATTTTCACAGCAAACAGCCTCTTGGATGTCATACTGTATTCCATTGCAGTCTCTTCTGAAAAGCATAGAAGACAAAATCCAGGACATTATCCCTGACACTCATTTGTATTCATCTGACATAAAAGTACATAAATTACGTATAAATATGAAAAACATTTTACAGCTAGACCTATGCGTTCCTTCATAGTCCCATGCAATACTGATCTCTGATGGACTGATATGAAAACACTGTAGTTGGACAGAACAGTTGGGTCCAGGTTTTGTTTTTTAAGAAGAGGCTGAACTACAGCTTGTTTAAAACATGATGGGACGCAGCCTGTAGCAAGGGACGTATTAATTAATCTCAGGATAAAAGGCCCAACAGTATTAAAAGTGCTTTTAAGCAAGCTCGGGGGGAGTGTGATGATCTTAGGTTACTAACTACCGCGGTCAAGTCCTTAAGGGAGACGGGATCAAACTGCTCTAAGACAGCTGAGCACACAGGAGAAGGACTCTGATCTGAGGCAGCAGACAACGAGACAAGGGCCCTAATCTATAGGATCTTGTCATTAAAAAATGCTAAAAAAATCATCGTACATACTTGGTGAAGAAGTGACTCCAGAATTATCACATGAACTAAGAAAGCGATTAAGGACATTAAAAAGTACCTGAGGCCTGTGACTGTTTACTGACACTAAGTTGGAGACAAACTGTGTCTTTGCAGTTTTTACAGCTTCTTGGTGAGCAGAAAGACGAGTCCTTAAAATCTGTAGGGAAACATGCAATCTGTCCTTTTTCCATCTCCTTTCAGCGCGTCTGTAGTCACATCTGAGGGAGCGCGTATGTTCATTCAACCACGGCTCTGATAAATGCTTAGCGCGCACAGTCCTGAGCGGAGCAATAGAGTCCAAGATATCAGTGCAGGTAGAATGAAGAATGTCCGAAAGGTCCTCAACACTTTTACAGTTAGAGTTCATTATTCCAGAGTCCATAAAGGCAGCAGAAAAAGCGGGCGCTGTTAGAGCATTAAGCGCTCGCTTTTTGCGCGCTGGGACGTATGGCTTATCCACCGAGCAGCGCAGGATTAGAGTGAACAACACAGGAAGATGATGAGATGCGCAACTCGGATATTTCCGTGATGCACACCTCCAACCCGTGGGAGCGCACCAAGTCCAGTGTGTGACCTTTTTCATGCGTGGGACCAGTAACCCACTGGGTCAAGTTAAAAGAGTCAATAATATTTAAAAAGTCCTTAACCAAAGGTTTAGAGTCACAGCAGACATGGATGTTAAAATCACCAAGGATTAAAAAACTGTCAAATTTAAGAACGATTCCAGCCATAAAACCTGAAAACTCTTTGATAAAATCCTTGTTAAACTAGGGAGGGCGGTATATGAGGGCACACAGCAAAGGCGCAGCAGAATTCAGGTGTAACTCAAACAGCTGGAGTTCAAAACTAGAAAATGAGTCGTGCTGTAATGTTTGATGGCAATGAAATCGAATGTTGAACACGGTGGCTAAGCCCCCCCCCCCCCCCCCCCCCCCCACCAGAGGACCGAGGGAGGCTGAAGAATGAGAAATTAGGAGGGACCAGTTCCGAAAAAGCTACAGACTCACCGGGTTGAAGCCATGTTTCTGTCAGAAACAGAAAGTCCAACTGTTGTGACTTTAGGAAGTCGTTTAATACAAACGTCTTGTTTGCTAATGATCTTACATTTAGTAAAGCCATTTGGAGTGTGTAGATCCTAACATGTTAAGTGTGCGAAGATTTCCGTGGTCCACACCACATCCACGGTCCGAGGCCGCTTAGGGAAATAAAATGCTGAGAGCGGGGGATCAAGTGTCGTGGGAGCTCCAGGGACAACAGGCAGGATCCATCTAAAGATGCACTCTGCTGGTCCAGTAGTTCCACGAGAAGCACGGAGAAGAGATCGGACTTTGATGAGTGTACCAGCCCGCTTTCCTCGTTTCCTCGGGCGCTTCTTCCAGGAAGTGGTGTAGGAGTGTTGGCACAGATAAACCAGGATACAGGGCTCAAAAAGTGGTGGAGGAGGCCCATAATCATCTCCTGTCTCAGTTTGCTTAAGAGCCAGGTCATACGATGCTTTGATTTCTAAGAGTAACTGGCGATTGTACACACGCATGTTAAGATGTTGTTAAAATGAACGTCTTACCAAAATGTTTCTTTTTATTTCAGTCAATTCCCTTATCTTTGCCAAAACATTTTTTGTTATATTTTTTGTTACAAACATTATTTGTTCTTTCATTTGGGGAGGGAAGCCACCTAGGGTTTCTAAAACTTTGCTGCAGCGATGCAGATTTAGTAGAGGACTTGCATTACCTAATTTTCTAGCTTACTACTGGGCCGCTCACATCCATAAACTTTGCTACTGGCTAAAATCTTCTGGTTCCTCGTGGTGTAAATTGGAGCTATCATCATGTAAGGGCTCTTCTTTACCAGCTTTGCTCTATTCCTCTTTACCCGTAAAACCCTCTCTGTATACTGATAATCAGGTGGTTCTTAACACACTCAAAATCTGGTTTCAGTTTAGACGTCACTTTAAATTTGTAATGCCATCTTCCTCGGGTCCTATAAGCGACAACCATTTGTTTCCCCCATCACTTTTTGACTCAACATTCTCAGTGTGGTGTGACAAGGGTATAAAACAGTTCAAACATTTATATGTGGATGGCGTTTTTGATAGTTTTCCCAATTTGTCTTCTCATCTCTTACCCATTTGTTTCGCTATTTTCAAATTCGAAATTTTGTTGCCAAGTGTTTCCCAAATTTCCCCTCTTTACCTCCAGAACAGCAGTGGGAAACTACATTATCATTTGGTCCTCATCACAGAGGAACCATTTCGAAACTCTATGATACTATCCTGTCTTTTAGTAACCACTCTAATGTTAAGCTTAAGTGTACATGGGAAGGAGAACTAGGAATTCAAATACATGAGGAGTCTTGGGAACAGGCTATAGCGAGGGTACGATCTTCCACCTCCTGTGCTCGTCTTGGATTTATTCAATTTAAGGTCATACACAGGGTGCATTTCTCTAAGTCTAGACTTTCTGAATTGTATCCAGAAGTGGAAAATAAATGTGATAAATGCCACGGTTCTCCTTGTCACCTTAGCCACATGTTCTTTCTGTGTCCTGAGCTAGAAGGTTTCTGGACAGGGTATTTTGCTATTATGTCAACTGTTCTTGGGGTAACTCTTCATTCTTGTCCTCTGATTGCTGTATTCGGGATTCCTGATTGCTCACTTACACTTGATTCTACACAAAAGGATATTATAGCCGTCTAATATTGTTGCATTGGAAGTCTGTTAAGTATCCTACTATTTCCCGGTGGCTTAAAGATGTCATGTTTTTTTTAAACTTGAAAAAATTAAATACACGTTGAGAGGTTGCACAGCCAAGGAAAGGTCAATTGTATTTCGGTAACTGCAAGTACTGTGTTGTTTTCATTTTTCAATAAAAATATTTGCAAAAAAAAAAAATTTGTTTCAATGTCCAAATATATATGGACCTATTTGTATCATTGGAAATGTGCACTGTAGCAGCAAACAGTTTGCAACCACGTGACATTGCGATATGATAGCTTTGTTGTATGTACAAGTCAGAAATAAACCAGGACAGATCACATTAACAAGTGGAAGAAATATTTTTTTCAAATCTTGGGAGACAAATTTGCAACTACAGGTTTATTTGGAGCAGCGGTTTTGTCTTTGGAGCTCCACCATG